GATAGAAAAGGCAAGCTTAAGCAAGGAGAATGAAGGGCGTGATAAGATGGCGGACTATGATCTGTCTCTTTCTGCGAGGAAAGGAAGAGGTGAGGGGAGGGGAGGAGAGGCAATGTCTCATGTCGAGCTGGGAGGGAGGGTTGGATGCCACTGGAAGCTCTAGCCTCTAAAGGCCCCTACATTTGGGAGGTTTTGGGGAGCCCCTGCCAACTCCCGAGGCCCCTGAGATACAGCAACTTTGGGATGGGATAGGGCATCTCCCGCTTCCTCTTCTGAGGCATTTTTCCTCATCTCTTCCTTGTTCCGTCCTTTCTCACTCGATTTCGCCCCCCCTCTCTCTGTGTTCCGCCTTCGCCCCTGCCCCTTCCCTCGCCTTGTTCCATGCCCTGCCCTTCCCTCCTTTCCACATCCTTCTCAAACGAGAAAGCAAGAGAACGATGAGAAGGAGAGGTGAGAGGGACGAAGAAGGTAAGGAAATGAAGTTTTTGCCCTGCCCTCTCCGTCACTTTTCTCATCCGCTTTCACCCCTTCCCTCTCATCACTCCATGCTCTACGCTAAGAGAAGAATAGGAGAGGAAGAGGAGAATAAGCAATGAACAGAAGACGCCGAGAGAGATGGAGACAGATAGAGAAGCAAAGAGACTGAGACAACAATTAGGCAGAAGAGGAAGAAGGAAGACGGTGGAAGAGCGACAGATAGGGGAACAGGGTGAAGGAAACAGACAACGAAGAAGAGGAAGAAGGAAGCGATGGTGAAAAGAGGGCCGCTTGGAGAACAAAAAGGGATCAGGGAAGATCAAGAAGGAAAGAGAAGAGGTAAAGCAGGGCACTTGTTTTTGTTATCCACTGTTCCTTTTCCTCACCCCTTACACTTATGTCCCGAGCATCGCTCACGCCTTTCTTCCACGGTCTTTGTCCTTCATTTCTCCTCTCTATCTCTCTATCCTCCCTCTAGCTCTCCTTCCTTTCTTCTCCATGTTCGTTCTCCTCCTTGACCCCGCTCTCGCTTTTCTCGTGTCCAGCCCATGGGCCTTTCCTCTTCTGTCCCTTTTGCCAATAAGTAGGGGGGATAGAAAAGGCAAGCTTAAGCAAGGAGAATGAAGGGCGTGATAAGATGGCGGACTATGATCTGTCTCTTTCTGCGAGGAAAGGAAGAGGTGAGGGGAGGGGAGGAGAGGCAATGTCTCATGTCGAGCTGGGAGGGAGGGTTGGATGCCACTGGAAGCTCTAGCCTCTAAAGGCCCCTACATTTGGGAGGTTTTGGGGAGCCCCTGCCAACTCCCGAGGCCCCTGAGATACAGCAACTTTGGGATGGGATAGGGCATCTCCCGCTTCCTCTTCTGAGGCATTTTTCCTCATCTCTTCCTTGTTCCGTCCTTTCTCACTCGATTTCGCCCCCCCTCTCTCTGTGTTCCGCCTTCGCCCCTGCCCCTTCCCTCGCCTTGTTCCATGCCCTGCCCTTCCCTCCTTTCCACATCCTTCTCAAACGAGAAAGCAAGAGAACGATGAGAAGGAGAGGTGAGAGGGACGAAGAAGGTAAGGAAATGAAGTTTTTGCCCTGCCCTCTCCGTCACTTTTCTCATCCGCTTTCACCCCTTCCCTCTCATCACTCCATGCTCTACGCTAAGAGAAGAATAGGAGAGGAAGAGGAGAATAAGCAATGAACAGAAGACGCCGAGAGAGATGGAGACAGATAGAGAAGCAAAGAGACTGAGACAACAATTAGGCAGAAGAGGAAGAAGGAAGACGGTGGAAGAGCGACAGATAGGGGAACAGGGTGAAGGAAACAGACAACGAAGAAGAGGAAGAAGGAAGCGATGGTGAAAAGAGGGCCGCTTGGAGAACAAAAAGGGGTCAGGGAAGATCAAGAAGGAAAGAGAAGAGGTAAAGCAGGACACTTGTTTTTGTTATCCACTGTTCCTTTTCCTCACCCCTTACACTTATGTCCCGAGCATCGCTCACGCCTTTCTTCCACGGTCTTTGTCCTTCATTTCTCCTCTCTATCTCTCTATCCTCCCTCTCGCTCTCCTTCCTTTCTTCTCCATGTTCGTTCTCCTCCTTGACCCCGCTCTCGCTTTTCTCGTGTCCAGCCCATGGGCCTTTCCTCTTCTGTCCCTTTTGCCAATAAGTAGGGGGGATAGAAAAGGCAAGCTTAAGCAAGGAGAATGAAGGGCGTGATAAGACGGCGGACTATGATCTGTCTCTTTCTGCGAGGAAAGGAAGAGGTGAGGGGAGGGGAGGAGAGGCAATGTCTCATGTCGAGCTGGGAGGGAGGGTTGGATGCCACTGGAAGCTCTAGCCTCTAAAGGCCCCTACATTTGGGAGGTTTTGGGGAGCCCCTGCCAACTCCCGAGGCCCCTGAGATACAGCAACTTTGGGATGGGATAGGGCATCTCCCGCTTCCTCTTCTGAGGCATTTTTCCTCATCTCTTCCTTGTTCCGTCCTTTCTCACTCGATTTCGCCCCCCCTCTCTCTGTGTTCCGCCTTCGCCCCTGCCCCTTCCCTCGCCTTGTTCCATGCCCTGCCCTTCCCTCCTTTCCACATCCTTCTCAAACGAGAAAGCAAGAGAACGATGAGAAGGAGAGGTGAGAGGGACGAAGAAGGTAAGGAAATGAAGTTTTTGCCCTGCCCTCTCCGTCACTTTTCTCATCCGCTTTCACCCCTTCCCTCTCATCACTCCATGCTCTTCGCTAAGAGAAGAATAGGAGAGGAAGAGAGGAGTGGGAGGAAGAAGATAGGCAGAGGAAAAAGGGACTTCTTCCCTTTCATTTAGCTTTGGCTTACATTACTTCGGTGTCCCAAACACGAAAGTACAGATGGGTCTTTGGGAGGGGGGCTTGAAAATGCCACAGAAAACTTTAGCAGAGCATATGAAATACTGAACTAGCCGAGTAAGCGCTCCAGCTGCTGAATCGGCCCTGGGTTTGAAGATTAAGGATTGACGATGCCGGGGAACTCTCCCCGAGCATCTTCACTCCTGATCCTTCGGCCTCAAGTCCGATTGAGCACTCCACCTGCTTAATCGGCCCTGGGTTTGAAGATTGAAGATGCCCGGGAACTCTCCCCGGAGCACCTTCAATCCTAGATTCTCAGCCCTGGGCCGATTAGGCAGATGAAGTGCTTAATCGGCAGGGGTCTGGGGTTGAAGATACTCCGGGGAGAGTTCCCCGGCATATTCAATCTTCAATCTTCCATACAAGGGCCGATTAAGCAGCAGGTGGAGTGCTTAATCGGCCCTGTGTTTGAAGATTGAAGATTGAAGATGCCCGGGAACTCTCCCCGGAGCATCTTCAATCCTAAACTTTTAACCCTGGGCCGATTAGGCAGATGAAGTGCTTAATCGGCATGGGTCTGGGATTGAAGATGCTCCGGGGAGAATTCCCCGGCGTCTTCAATCTTCAATCGTCAAACCCAGGGCCGATTAAGCACTGTCTTGGCCCCCCCCTGCACAAAACATATTATCTCTACTTTGTTGTCCAGAAGCAGATGTTGGCGCGTGAGGCCTTTTCACACCTGAAAACATCTCTCAGTCAGCAAAACGCAAAGAGAAAGTACGTAGAGTAGGTGCCCACATCAAGTGTGTGTATAGGAAAAATGTATGGCATATCAAATACCGATAGCGGAGAACGAACCATGAGACTAAGAAGTATTCGAGCGCACAGGGTAATGCGCAAAATCGTTTACTGTAAGCCCCAGGGACACGAGAATACTGTGAGCAAATATCCTTTCGCGATTTCCTGAGACCTTCCAACAGGCTGCAAGTAATTGCTCGCAAGTATCTTGCTTTTCATTCTCAATGTTTCCCACAGGTCTCCCATCATGGTTATCATTTGTCAAGGATAATGCTTATTTTCGATTCCAATTATCCGCAAGACTCACAGGCGCATAAGGTCTGACGTAATACTCGTCCAAAGCAACAGGGTATCACACCCTGACTACAAAAAGTATACGAAGCCTTGGTTTATGTTGCGCGTCTCGTAGGAAGAAATGACATAGCATGCTACGGGAACTGTGCTGTTAAGCCTTTATATAGTGAGGGTTTAGTGGTTTAGACGGGGAAGGCCAGAAAGTTTTTTCAGATGCCTCGCTGTTTGATTTTTTGTCACCGTGTTTTAGGCGGTTGTACGTCTCGTAGGAAGAAATGGTTTCTGATATAGCATGCTACGGGAACTGTGCTGTTATATCTCAATGTACCGAGGGTTTAGGGTGGTTTAGAGTTGAAGGGGTAGGCCAGAAGGTTTTGTTTAGCTACTTTGCTGTTAGATTTTTGTTTTCATTCTTTTCACCTTTTCACCCTTATCTTATCTTCATCTCTTCTCTCTCTCTCTCTCTCTCTCTCTCTCCCTCCCTCTCACCCTCCCTCCCTCTCTACTTCCGCAAATTCCCTTTTGCCAGGGAAAGAAAGACAGAAAGAAAGACAGAAAGTAAGAGAGAAAGTAAGAAAGAAACACAGAGAGAGAGAGAGAGAGAGAGAGAGAGAGAGAGAGAGAGAGAGAGAGAGAGAGAGAGAGAGAGAGAGAGAGACCGTAGCCATTTTGGCTCAAGGAAAGCAAAAAAGTAGCCTTTGCTGTGGGGGTAGTCCGAGCCCCGGCCAGCACCGGCGTGCCATTGTCCTCTTCGTCGAGTTTGAAAAACTACGCGTCTACCACGAGGGGGCCGTCTCCTACGTGCACGGTGTCTTCGGACCTCAAGGGTGACCGCTGCTGTCCTGGGGGCGCGGCTGCTTGGCTTCGTGGTGCGGCGTGGGCTCCGTCGACACCATGAACGTGGAGACGGAGGCCTTGGGCGGCCTGTTTCCAGCCCCTCGGCGGGGCAGAAACGCAAAGGGGGCGAGGCCATTGCGCTGGATGACGACACCCCGACGGGAGCGTCTCAGGCCGAAACTGAGGCTTTCTCCACCCCCCCCGGCGAAATCGCCGGCCCGGGGCTCAGCATCGCAGACGTCAAGACAGCGCTGCGAGTGGAGGTGCAGGGCTTCCTGGGTGAGCTCCGTGGAGTCATGGGGGGCATGGAAAAGCGCATCACAGACAGCATGGAGACCAAGATGACCGAGATGCACACCAGGCTCGATGCGGTCCAGGAGCACACTAAGAAACAGGGGGATGGACTTGCTCGACTGGAGGCGCGAGTGGCTCTACTCGAAAGTGGGGGGCCTTCCTCTACGACCGCGACAGGTTCGGCAAGCACTGCGGGGTCCGCTACAAGAAGGCGCGCCATCGTCCTGGGGGGCTACGACCGCGACACCCCCCGTGATGAACTGTTGGCACAGCTCACTGCACAAGTCGCCAAGCTGCAGTTGGACTTTGACCCCCTCACCATGTTCGCGACGGGGATCAGACGGGGCACGGCCATAGTGCCGCTTCAGCCCAAAGAGGGGGAGGATGAGCGGGAGACCAACGAGCGCTTCGCGAAGGTGTTAAAGCAGATCCGGGAGGCCAACGTGCAGGTGGGGACCAGGGATGACGGCAATCCTCGAAGGCTCTGGGGGGCGGCCTATGCAGGCAAAGTCAAGCGGCTCGTGCTGACGCTGGACAAGGAAGCCAAGGTCGAGTGCGAGTGGTCGTCGGGGACCGTCTGGTTGTGGGGAGCCAGGATTGCTTCGGCGACGACGGCGGGGCCACTTGCCAGGGAGACGCACAGCACCAAGCACGGCTGGCTGGACATGCAAAAGATCGCAGAAAAGCTCGACAAGCAGAAGAGTGACATCGAGGCCCCCTGGGGGGACCTCGAGGCCCAGCTTCGCTGATCCACGCCGAGTGAGTTTCACCACTGCTTCAGAACGTGGAACGTGGGAGGCTTGGACGCTGAAGGCGACCTCGTCGACTACCTCATGGCCACTTCTGAGGGGGACCGCCTGGAATTCGTTTTCTTGCAAGAGATACCGCAACCAAAACAGGGGGAAATCCCCGCTGCACAAACAACGGCGAGTAAGAAGGGGCCGCGGCCTTCGGGCAAGCACATCCCCCTCTTGGGGGAGGAGTGCTGCCAAGCCCAGACCCTGCAGGACCATTTTCTCAAGCTTGGACACACGCAGATTGGAGGAGCACGGGCATTCTTCTTCGGCGACGAAATCTTCAAGGTTCACACACGGTGTTGGCATGTGGGGGGACTCTGGGACTCACTTGGGCCAAAGTGCGCACGACGTCGTTGGGCGTGGTGGGGCTCATGTCGTGCCACCTACCTCATTGGACCACATTGCAGCAAGCTGGAGAACTACTACGCAACTGGTATGACTCGACCAAGCCTCTGCACGGTCTTTCTCGACTCGTATGTGGAGGTGACCTCAACGAAACATTGACACTGGGGGATGGAGGGGGGGCCTTTGGGGGGGCCACCGCAAGAGGAGAAGTGGTGGCTGCCTTCTTCCAGGAGCTTGGACTGGTTTCGGCGGAGTCTAGCTGGGCTACGCCAACCTACCACCCCTACACAACGACCAGATGAGACCACGTCGATTGGACTATATCTTTGCCAAAGGCCTGTGCATGCTCGAGGCTGGCGTGCTGGAGGAGTCCAGGCATGAGATGTCCTCCGACCACGATGCAGTAGAGCTTCAAGTGGTGCAGCTGCCGCAAACTCGTGACCCCCGACCCTGTAAGCTGAGGAAAGGGGTGCCAGTGATGCCTGACAAAGCAGCAGCGCAGCTCCGTGCAACGGCCCCGCCTTCCACGGGGGAAGGACTGCTGGTGGAGTCGGTCGCCAACCTTTCGCAGAGACTCATCGTGCCCAAAGAGTCTACGCGTTTCAGGGAAAGCGCGCACCTGGGAAGGCTGCGGCAAGCGGCCAAACGAGCAGAAGGGGCAGCCTCGCGGGCGCTGTGGAAGGAGGTTCACTCTGTGCGGAAGAGTGAAAAACGTAAGTGGCTCAAGAGCCTCACGTTTTGGGCCACTAGAGGCAGCTGGGGGGCCTGGAAGAAGCTTTTCGGATCGGGGCCCCGCAAGCTGTGGGAACCCCGCCTGGCCCAGCGCTACGACAACTGGACCGACAACATGACGGAGTACCTGGAGGGGATCTTCTTCAGGGACAGTCTGGCCGAGAACGACGCTGCTCGAGATGAAGCGAGGCTCACCCTCGCGGTGATCCCGAGCCCTTTTTGCGGCTTCACCATGGAGGAAGTGCAAAGGGTCATGGCCAAATGGAAATCCGGCAGGGCAGCAGGCCCAGATGGCATCACCTACGAAGCGCTGCGAATCATCATGAAGGACGAGGTGTGGGGGGGCTTTGTCCTGGAGGAGCTCAACGACTTCCTGAAACTGGGGTTCACGACAGTCCACGTTCATGATGGCAAAAAAGGCGGAGCCGACATGGTGGGGGGACCTACGACCCATCACCTTGTCCTCGGCCCTGCTGAAGCTTCTCAGCCAACTCACGCTGACTCGGGTGACACCGCTGCTGGGGACCACGCATGATCTACAGTGGGCGTCGCCCTCGAAGCAGCCCCTGGAACTGGCAATCAGCCTGGGGCGCATGCTCAGGGTGTGCGAAGAATGGAAACAGGAGACCTTCTTGGTCAAGATCGATATAAGGCCTTTGACAGCATCCGCATTCCGAGACTCCTGGCTTTCATAGCACGAAAGCTTGCTAGATCGAGATGGTGTGCCACCTGGGGGTCCACGTGGAGTTTTTAGACCAACAGTTGCTGGTCAGACAAAGCAATGGAGTCAAACAGGGTGCCCCTGAGTCGCCAGTGCTATTCGCAGCACTCATCGCCGAGCTGGCAAATGAAGTGGCGGAAGAGTTCAACATGGCCAAGCCGCAGGAGGAGCCAGGGTGGGAGATGCCTTTCAACCTGGCCACTTTCGCGGCGGACGACATGTACCTCTGGCATTTCTGCCTGAGTCGACTGCAAGCCCTGCTCGCAGCGGTGGAGCGCAAGGCGGCGGACAACGGACTGGATTTCCAGGGGGACAAGACCCAGGTGCTGACCAGCGTGGAAGGCGACAAGCGCACCCTCGTCATCGGGGGCAAGACGGTCTCCCTCCTGAAGCCGGGGACACTGATTCGTGTTCTGGGCACTCAACAGGGCTTCCGAAGGGGGCCCTCGGACATTGCTGCGGAGGTCAACGCCAAGATGCGCCAAGTCTTTTGGGCCCACAAAGCTGTGTTCGCAGGGAAGATGCCGCTCACCTGTAAGTGGGAAAGTTTCAATGCTGTTGTGAGGGGGGCCGCTTTATGGCAAGCGGCGGCGTTGCCGCCGGGTCGCAACCTCTTGGCGGCCTTGAACACACAGCAACTCCGCCTAGTGCGGGTGATGGCAGGCCTGAGGAGGAAGCAAGGGGAGCCCTTTGTGGAGTACGAGATGCGCAGCCTTCGAGTTTCACGCGCTCGGCTTCACCTCCACCAACAGGAACGCTTTTCCACCTTCGTTCTACGGCAGGTTTGGAGGCTGTACGGCCACGTGGCCAGACAGAACAGCCGGGCCAAACAACTCCTCAGGTGGAGGGGGCCGTGTTGGTGGAAGGCGGAGCAACAAAAGAGAGGGGGCCGCCGACACCCGGGCCGCTTTAATGCGGGCAGGGAGGTCCAGAATGACATCAACGCCTTCCTGGAAGTCGACGACTGGATGGAGGCTGCCCAAGACCGCAAAGCGTGGAAGCTCAGGGAGAGAGCTTGGGTGAAGTCCCAAGATCTCCCGTGGGCCTCCAACGCACAGGCGGCCCTTGAAGCTGAGCTGGGGGAGCGCGCTGACGAGCAGCTGTCCAAAAAACTGGCTCGGCAGCTCCAACTCCAGAACTTGGCCCCCAACAAGAAGAAGAGGAAGAAAGCAAAGCCGCGGACAGGAGGTTCCCGGAAGTGCAAAAGACGGAGGACCGCGAAACCGACCGCCCTGATGCTGCAACCAGGGGGGGCACCGTGACGTGGGGGCCGTTGACTGCCTCCCCGTCCCACCTCGCCGTTTTTCACCTCGACAGCGGGGGTCTCCCAAGGAGCCCTCTTTGGTTAGCGGCAACGATCAGCGAATGACGCCTCGAGATGAGTCCGAAAGCCTAGGTCGTTGGAAAAACCCTTTCTGCTTCACCGCCATGCATGCCTCTGACTTTCGTTTCAGTCCATGGGGGACGCCACCGAGAACAGAGAGAGTGAGGGCAGTTGAAGTAGGTGCGATGACAGAGCCACAAGAGGGACTTCGCCGTCACCGACTCCGCAGCCGTCTTGGTCCCTGCCTGCGCCCTGCACCAACTTCGCCCCACCGCTTCCTTCTGTGCTACCTGCCGCTGCTGGGCATCCTGGTAGTGAAGGGGGCCCCCTGGAGCATTTGGAACTGGGACGATGCGGCGGACTACGGAGGGCGATCTGAAGGAGGCCGAGAGCGCGACCAACGAGAACACCAAGGACAACCACATGGGGGACTACCACAAGTTCAGAGCGAGGAGGACCAGATGGGGGGCTCACCAGGACAGCCGAGCCACATGGGCCCTCAACCTCCGCTACAACCAGAACCGCTTCCCCAGCACGGGGGGCCCCTTATGGGGGGCACCGCTGTGCAGCCAGAAGCCGTTGACAGGGATGACTGGGAGGCTTGGGGTGGTTGGTGGGAACGACTACGTGGACCTAGCCACGGACGAGACGACCACCATGGGGGGGACCACGGGCGCGATCCACTCCTACCTGTACATGCTGATCATCGACAACAAGGAGGACAGGGTGACGGGCGTGATCGACGGCTACCAGAACGAGAGGTGCCACCGGACCAAGAAATGCCAACAGAAGGGGGACAGCCGCAACCACACGAACATGGACATGGAGCAGCGCAGGAACAAGCCGAAGGGCAGTTTCGACCTCTACCTGCGCAACCCGGAGAGCGACGTGGAGCTGAAGAAGAAGACGGGCACGACCCACCCCTACCCGAGCAAGGAGCCCCCCAGGAGGGGGGGACCGCCCAAGGAGGAAGCTCTGAGTACAGAGATGCGCCCCGATGGGGGGACGACCAATGGACGGTCAGAGAGTGGAGGTCGACCAGATGGAGGTGGTGGAACTACCCGCGCGATCGACCTGAAGCCTCATGGTTTCAAGTGCAACTTCGAGACTGGCGGGCTGCAAGGCAGGAGCGAGCTGAAGAGCAGCAAGGGTGGTGGCCCGAAAATGGGGGGATGGAACAGACGACGACACCGACCAGTCCAACGACCCGGCACTCCATGCCTGGAACCCCGGAGACCGCGCGCCAGACGCCGACATGGAAGAGCCGGCCCAGGCTCAAAGCTATGATGCGGCAGCCCATGCATGGAACCCTGGGCCTACGCAGGGCCCGCTGGCGCAAGAAGCGCCCGGCAACCACCAGTGGGGCGACAATGTGGATGAGGACACAGTGAGCCAAGAAGCCAAAGCACGAGCGTGGGAACAATACCTACAAGAACGGAGGCGGCAAGCTACAAGTGGAGAGCCTGCTCCACAGATGCCTCCTTGGTTTGGAGAGGAGGGAAAAAAGGCGAGCAAGCCGGTGGACATTGGACCGCCGGGCTATCCGCCTACTGATCGACGGCGAGTCCGCTACCTGAACAAGGGGGCCATGGAGGAGATTCGCAACCGGCCCTACTTGGAAAAGTGGCAAAATGAGCGACGCCGCTATGAGCAGAGGGACGAGCCTAAGAAAGGCAGGGCCACGCGCATGGGGGCCAGCCAACAGGGGGGTCGCCAACACAGCCACGGGAACCCCTCTACCAGCTCTGCCTCGTCGTCTACCTCCTGGGCAAGTGGGCCAACTACGTCCGGGACTTCTGCGAGCTGGCGGGGTTGGTCTTCGTGGAGCACGTGGACATCGGGGGCCCAACACAGACCGAGGCACGACGGGGGACAGGGACCAGTGCGGCAAGAACGCAAAGCTCGCCAGTGAGCTTTGGCACACGGAATGGAGCGAACTGGTCCACCGTAGTGGCAGCACTCCGACGCCGGGGACGGGTGAGGAATGGAGTGCCATGCTCAACCGCCATCGGCACCGGCCAAGACCTTTGCATGATGGAGAAGAACAGCGAGACCCGGAACAACGTGACCCCCACGAGCCGGACCATCCTGAACAACCGCAAGCGGACCAGCCTGATGGGCGAGGCCAACAGCCGGAACAATGCCAGCAAGCGGGACAAACAGAGGGGCCCAACAACGTAGTGAACGTGGACACGCCGCCGGACCTGGTGGAGGAGGCGGAGGATATCATTGATGCCCTGCTGGACAGCCTGGAGCACCAGCCTACACAACATGAACGGCAACACCAAGAAGACAGACACGCGGCCAGCGAACACAAGGACGACAAGGAGGACCAGGCTCTGCTTCAATGTGGGCTTGTGGGCCGCCGCCCACCAGACACGGGGAACACCATGAACGACTACGCTGACGACCTGCTCGACGATGACGACCCGCCCATGAGCACAAGGACGACGACCGCCAGAGCAAGAGCTATGGGGACGAGACCGCAGACGAGGAAGATGAAGTGGCATGGGTGCAAAGGAAAAAGAGGAAGAGAGGAGATGGGGACCCAGAAAACCACACCGACTACACCGACCTCGCCGAGAACGCGCAAGGGAGTGGGGGACCTCCTGAAGGCGAAGAACGCAATCATGGAGGACCACAGACCGGAGAAGGCGAGGGTGAGGCAGCGGAGACCCACGCCTGTAACGCGGACTGCGACCTGGAAGAGCAACAAAGGGTCGAAAGGGAGCTGGAAGAGGAGCGTGCACTGCAAGAAGAATGGGAACAAGACCGAGCCCTACATGAAGAATGGGTGCAGAAAACCATCGACGAGTACCTCACGGAAGAAGATGATCGGGGGGCCAATCGACCGCCGGAGGGGACCACCCAGATGCAGACACACCAGCAGCATCACCACGTGGCTGCGGTTACGATGGCTCTCAACCGATGGATGGTAGGGGCCACAGCGACCGGCGGCATGGAGATCGAAGTGGACAGTGTGGTGGAAGTGCTCACGCACGTGCTCAACCTGAACCAGCTGCTCCTCGAGGAAGAGGGCGAGCCGACGTTGCGCCTCACCGTCCTCTACCAGATCATGTCCAGATGGCGACAAGAGCGCGCTTGGCGCAAAAAGGTCGAGATAGAAACGATGGGGAGGATCTGGCAGGGATACCTGGAGGCCCTCCATTCCAAGGGGGCCCGGTGGGAAGGGGCCAAGCTGATGGAGCACAACACGGAGGATGTGGAGGACCCGAGCCAAGCCGCGACAAGTGGGGGAGCGAACCTGGAGGGAGAGCAGACCCTAGTCGACCCCGCACAACCTGCCGGAGACGCCACAACGTCTTGGGGGGGTCTGGACGGAGCCGGCCGAAAGACCAACAATGCCAGGGGGGCCGTGGCCGGTGAGGGCCCCAGGCTACTGGAAAAGACCGTGGCCCAACTGCCTCCTACGCCCATGGCGTCCATGGCATCGTCCACGTCAACCCGGGGAGCCTTTTCGATACCAGCAGTTCCTCAAGGAGGCCATCGAGTGGAGGCACCTGGAGGCCCTGCGGGTGAGTGAGACCACCTCGGGGGTCCAACCAGGAGGTCGCCACGAAGGAGCGACTTCGTCCGCATGTTCGGCTGATCAAGGAGGGCGCCAGCCAGGGGGACAGATGCAGAGCACGCAAATCGACACCCAGGACGATGCACAGGAGGAGGATGAGGGGGCCACTGATGAGGATCAACACAAGGGGGTGGACAAGTGAGGGGCCCAAGTCTAGAAGAACCAGCACCTTTCGTCCAGACAACGGGATTACCAATGTGTAACAAACCCGTCTTTTCACCGAGACAGAGCAGCGGGCCAGCGTGGCCGGGGTTCCTCTCTCCTGGGGGGGGGGCCTCTTCGCTGGGTAGAAGAGAGAGAGAGAGAGAGAGAGAGAGAGAGAGAGAGAGAGAGAGAGAGAGAGAGAGAGAGAGAGAGAGAGAGAGAGAGAGAGAGAGAGAGAGAGAGAGAGAGAGAGAGAGAGAGAGAGAGGAGAGAGAGAGAGAGAGAGAGAGAGAGAGAGAGAGAGAGAGAGAGAGAGAGAGAGAGAGAGAGAGAGAGAGAGAGAGGGAGAGGGAGAGAGCGAGAGAGAGAGAGAGGGGGAGAGAGACAGAGAGAGACAGAGAGAGGGGGAGAGAAAGAGAGAGGGGGGATGAAAAGAGGAAGAGATGAAGAAAGCAGCAGGGCTTTGTCCTCTGCCTCTGTGCATTCCTTGTTCTTCTCTCCTGTCTCATTGGTGATCAGTGATAAACCAAGACGAGCTTGCCGTTCTTTCATTTTCTTTTTCTGGTGGAAAGCTAAGAAGCAGGAAGGAGAGGAAGGAAGGTGGAGAAATAGAAAGAGAAGCAAGAACGGAAAGAACAATACGCAGAAATGACAGAGAGAAAGGGAGAACTGCAAGCCCAGCGGAAGAAGAAGAAGAAGAAGAAGAAGAAGAAGAAGAAGAAGAAGAAGAAGAAGAAGAAGAAGAAGAAGAAGAAGAAGATAGAGAGAGATGGAGACAGAGATGAAGAGAGCAATGAAGTCGAGGAAGGGGCAGATGATGAGAGCGAGGGTGTCTTGCTTTCCCTGAGCTTTCGGTTCCTTTCATTTGTCCTTTCTTCTTATGAAGAGAAAAGGGAGAAGAGCAGAGGATGAAGGCAAGGGAAGAGAAAACGTGTGAACCGAGCGAAAGAGGAGTTCTCCCTTCCTGTCCCCACCATCTGCCTTCATCCTATCTTTTCCTTTTTGTTCTCTGTTTTCCTTATTCTTCGCAGAAAGTTTTGGAAAGGAGGGGAGGAAGGAAAGAGGGGAGGGGAGGGATAAGAGAGCAAGAGATGGCAGAGGAGAGAGAGATAGCGAGACAGAGCGAAGAAGAGAGAGAGAGAGGGAGATTAAACAAAAAAAATCTTGAGAGGGAAGGAAATGAGAGATAAATACATCGAGATGAAGTGGTGTTTTCCCTTTCCCCTTCCTTCGTGTTATATCAGGTAAACAAAAACAATACTAATAGGAAAAGGCTAAAAGCGGCTAAAACAACAATATGGTCATGGGAATATTTACCAAGAAAGGAGTATATTATCGTCTTATTTGAAGCAACACACTTGAGAGCGCTCAGGGTTTGTCATTTCCAGCAGCTCCTGTAGTTAGCGGTATTTATGTTATTATTGTTTTTTTTAAGTAGTATATTTATGGCAAACACCAGACCCTTAAACGAGGGTTGAATGGAAAACATACACCCTAGAATGAGATGGTAGGTGGCGAAGCCCTAGGAAAATAAGAGATGTGATGCCAAACATGGGAGCCCTGAGCCGTGAACCGAACTAGCCCTAAGCCATAAATTTTGCCTTAAACCTAAACCCTACAAATTGTACGTGTGAATTGAACCATTTAAATAGCAAACAAAAAGGAAGTGCCAAATAGACCCTAAAGGTCCATGCCACATAACCCTATAACCCTATAACCCTATAACCCTATAACCCTAACCCTAAACTAAACCCTAAACCCTAAACCCTAAACCTCTCTTTCATATAATAATTTAAACCTTAATGTCCTTCGTGGTTGAAGGCCCATACTTCGTGGTTTGAGGCCCAGAATTTGTGGTTTAAGGCCCATAATTCGTGGGTTAAGGCCGAAACTGGTTTAAGGCCCATAGTTCGTGGTTTAAGGCTCATAATTCGTGGTTTAAGGCCCATAATTCGTGGTTTATAGGCCCGTGGTTTAAAATCCACAATTCGTGGTTTAAGGCCCATAATTCGTGGTTTAAGGCCCGTGGTTTAAGACCCATAATTCGTGCTTTACGCCCATACTTCGTGGTTTAAGGCCCATAATTCGTGGTTTAAGGCCCATAATTCGTGGTTTGAGGCCCGTGGTTTAAGGCCCATAATTCGTGGTTTAAGGCCCGTGGTTTGAGGCCCGTTGTTTAAGGCCCATAATTCGTGGCTTAAGGCCCGTGGTTTAAGCCCATAATTCGTGGTTGAAAGCCCGTGGTTTAGGTGGTGTTTAGGGTTTCAGGGCCTCAAGGCCTGGCGTTTAGGATTTCAGGGCCTCAAGGCCTGGCGTTTATTTAGGGTTTCAAGGCCTCAAAGCCTGGGGTTTAAGGTTTCAGGGCCTCAAGGCCTGGAATTTAGGGTTTCTGGGCTTCAAGGAGGGCCTGGGGTGGCCAACGCAGAGATGCGATAGCAAGAATATGAAGTTAAGAAAATTAGGTGTGTTTGTTGTGTTGGTTCGTTTAGACCTTTGAAACTGAGATGATTGGAGAGTAATTGTATTTTTGTTTTTCCCAAAGTTATGGGACTCTCTGGGTGGGTGGGTGTTATATCAGAGCCGTAATATAACTTTACCATAAAACTGCTCGACACGGAGCTGCTGAACCCTAAGCCCTAAACCCTAAACCCTAAACCCTCAAACCCGAAAACCCTAAACCCTAACCTCCTGAGGCTGGGGCCTTGGGTAGCGGAGAGCTTGAAGGGCTCCTGTCCTCTCTGGCATTGCCCGTGGCCCTGCTGGCTCCCATCCTTTTCGCGGAGCTCCAGGCCTGACGTCAAGCCCCCTGAGCCCTAAACCCTTAACCCTTAACCCTAAACCCTAAACCCTAAACCCTAAACCCTAAACCCTAAACCCTAAACCCTAAACCCTAAACCCTAAACCCTAGCCCTAAACCCTGAACCCGAAGCGAAAGTGTATGGTCAGATGAAGATTACGTTTTGCGAGTGTAGGCGGGGTTCGTAGGTATACGGATGAGCGCACATATGGTTCCGCACCCACCCCTCATGGTATCCCCCCCCTCCACCCCCCTTCCCAGCAATACCCTCTCGCAAAGCTAAACCCTATGCCCTAAACCCTAAGGCCTTAAACCACAAAACCCTTTACCCTAAAACCTGCAACCCTAAACAGACCGTTAACACCTCAAAACCCTTTCAAATCCCATACAAAACCCATAAAACCTTGACCCTAGTGTGGTTGTGGGGTGGTTAAGGATTTGCGGTTTAGGGCTTAGGGTCTTTTTAGGGATCACTGCTTCTGGGCTCCTGAGGGTTTGGGTTTAGAGCCAATGAAAATGCATAGGGTGTCCTTGTAGGCACACATTCAAACCCTACTTAGCTGCACATGAGTACCTGCACTGCACGCAATTGTAGCGAAGCGCAGTGTGACCGTAAGGGCGACTTAGGTGGTGTCTACTTACTAGTACTGCCAGCCGATAAAGCACAATTGCCGCGACATTACGAATAGAACCACTCGAGTGCCATGGCACAAACATAGTACTTGTAGTGAGGAATCTTAGAGAATCTTGGAGCCGGGCGTATGAGGGACACCTCTATGTTGAGAAATGGCCCTTTGCCCTAGAAAAGATTTTGGCAACCCAAGCCTTAGGCAAACCCCTGAACTCGAGACCCGAAACCCTAAACCCCAAACCCTAAACCCTAAACCCCAAACCCTAAACCCTAAACCCCAAACCCTAAACCCTAAACCCTAAACCCTAAACCCTAAACCCTAAGCTCCAGGCATGGCGCCCGGGTATGCCGCTCTTGCTCATCTCCTTGCTGCACTTGATCAGAGCGGAAGTGGTGATCCCCTGGGTATTCCGGGCGCCGCCAGCACCCACCCGAGAAGAGTCGCCGCAAGAGTTGCGAGAGGGGGAGAAAAGCTGGCCATCGCGTTTAGGGTTTAGGGTTTAGGGTTTAGGGTTTAGGGTTTAGGGTTTAGGGTTTAGGGTTTAGGGTTTAGGGTTTAGGGTTTGGGTTTCTTTGGGGGATGATGTGCAAACTTGAACAGCTCATTTCTTCCTCGTGAATTGCCCAGTGGCCCCTGTTTTTTGAGAAAAGTAGTCATCATGACCACCATTGTGGCGATCATCGTCTTCAACACATTCCAGACCACCATTACCGTTAACACAATCCAGACCACCATAAATTACCGTTATGACGTTTAGGATTTAGGGCTTAGGGTTTAGGATTGAGGGCGTAGGGCCAGGGTTTAGTATTGAGGGTTTAGGATTTAGGTTTTAGGGTTGGCGCGATTAACTCAGAATGGCATTCTCAGTCTTGGTATGGCCACGATGATGAGGACTAGCAAAGAATCTTGTTCTTTTTGTGCGTAGAGTTTTAGTTACTACCAGTATTGCTAGTCCTGTTACTGTTACGTTAACATTGAAAAGATGATGATGATGCTGTGCTTTGCTTAGCACGACTGACTGTGATTGTCGCCGACACCATAAGTATTCCAAAGGTTCCTTTTGCCAGTGCAATGAACACTCATTCTAAGGCGAACTCTCCAGGTGTCGAATGACATGTTACTCCCGATCCTTTGCCCTTCTTTTTGCTTACCTGCGGGGGGTTGGCGCGGTTGTGTAGTAAACACTGAACTCCTGTATTGCGCTGAGGCAGGTCTACATCCATGCGAAGCAGAAGTTCAATGGACTCATCCTCAGGTTTCTAAGGTTGAGGATGGTTGAGGGTTGGGGCGGGTTTGGGGTCGAAGAGGTTTAGGGTATAGAGGGTGTAGAGGCGGATTCAAAGTTTTGGCGATTTTGGGGTTCAGGGTTGCATGGTACAGGGTTTATCGGATTTGCGGTTTCTAGGCTTCGGCAAGCACTCACTCCTCCAAGCGTACGCCGAAGGGGCAACTCTGGCTTTTCATCATGTTAGACTGCGGGGTACTGGTAGCTACTGAGGTGGCCAGAGGCGAACCCCACCCAGTCCTTGCGGGGTCTGGAGTCCCTAGTGATGATTCTCTGGAGGTTGGTGGGGCGGAGGGTGTGAGGGACGGGAGAGTGCAAGCTCTGATTTCAACCTGAGGTTGGGGCGGTTGGGGGTTCCCCTTCGGGTGGTTCCTCTTCCCCTTCCTCTGGGATCAGGGGACGGGCACTTGTCGGTGGCCGTGGCACTGCCCATGAGGTGTTGGGTTCGTAGGGCGTGGTTGGGGGCTGGCGTTCTGATGTGTTTGGAATTTCAGGTATTAACGGGGGCTGTGGCAATTCAGGCCCTAGGGTGTCTCAGTACTCTGATCATTCTACAGGTTCGGCCCGGGATGAGGGGTCACAGTCATTGAATGCTCATCGGCGAGGTGCATATGGTCTATAGTTCATAAATTCGGGAGCAAGGCACTTCAAGCGTAAACTGGAGGGCGGTGAAGCGGATAATCGTACGTGTCGTACGTGCGAAATGCGGGTATGCTAGTTGGGACAGCGGCAGGTCGCATGAGCAAAGATGTCGTGTCTCAAGGACTTGGGGACGCATAGTCTGGTATGTTTGCCCTCTCGCTCTTCGAGCCTCGTGAACGGGGAAGGGTGGTGGAGGGGGTCTGGGCTGAAGTGGAGGTGATGTTCTGATGCTCGCCAACGCGCGCGTAAATGAACAGATGGCCATGCTGCCAGTCTCCAGCCCGGCTATATGCCGGTAACCGTGCCGAGGATTGACCTGGAAGCGCCCTATACGGGCGAGGGCTCCAGGGGGGGCAGGCTTGGGCGGGAAAGTTTGGCCTCGGGCCAACGGCGGCCACCAGGTGATGTGTTGGAGGGCCATGCGAGGTGAGTAGTGACAAGGAGCTGATTTTCGAGATGCTGTGTCTAGTTGTAGGTACATTTAGATTGCCGCCTTTTCAGCCGCACTGAGCGAGAGAGGAGAGGTATTTGTTTTGTGTTGTTGGTTGCTTGACACATATCTACCAGGACGGGCTATTAGACCCTATAACCCTTAAAAAAGGGCCTTTATAGGGCTGTTTATGGGGGTTATAGGGCCTAATAGCCCATCCTGGTAAGCCGCAGTACGGGAGTGACTTTGTGCCTTCTTGATGCTCTGGGAGTTGGGGCTGGTCCCGGGGGGGGTTGTGCTGAGATCGACGCGCCCTGAGTCTGGAGGTTTGGTATGTCTTACTACAGGACTGGGCTACATCCGTCGCACACTACTACTACTTAGGGTTTCTAGGATTGGGGGGGTGTCGGGGGTTTCAAGGACTTGGGGTGAGGTCAAAAACCCGAAACCCCAAACCCCCAAACCCTGAACCCAAATCCCCGGCCCAGGCCTGCTCCTGGCATCTACGCTCCGCTGCGAGACGCCTCTGGCGCGCATGAGCGCGATCGCGGCGGATGGCCGAACTCCCTACCAAGGCCCGGGATTTGCTAAACCCGAAACCCCAAGCCCGAAGCCCTAAACCCTAAACCCAAAGCCCTAAGCCCTAAACCCTAAACCTTAAAACCCTAAACCCTAAACCCTAAACCCTAAACCCTAAACCCTCAACCCTAGCAGCTCCCAGGCACGGTGATCAGGCACAACGCCTTTGGCGCGCTTGTGGACATCGGCTGCGAATCTCCAGGTGGGGGTCCCCTTGTGAAGGCGTTCGCCTTCAGGGTTTGGGGACACTAGAGTTTTCCTTGGGATTTAGGGTTTAGGGTTTAGGGTTTAGGGTTTTTTAGATTTAGGGTTTAGGGTTGACGGAAGCGCGAGCAACATGAGCTTCTGGTGTTCGGCATTTAATGGCGGATGGGAGCCTAGGACGCTTTGGCTGCGGTTGGGGTCGCAGGAGGTCATGCCCTCCGCACTTTTGAACTCATCTTTCCCCCTTGAACCTAACCGGAGAGCCTCGATTTCCGAAAGTATTGCACTGTGACAAGGCCTCTTCCCAGACTCCCACACCTCCCAAACCCCCAGTCCCTCTGAGCAAACGCCTGGCGGCCCAAACCTTGGAATGTAAGTCCCCAAACCCGCACGACCGCACGACCTCGCGCCACCAGGCATGGTCCTCTTAGGAAACGAGCTCGTCCAAGCGTCGCCAGAGCACACTGGCCCCGGCGCGGCAGCAGCTAGGCAGCAGTTGCCCTTAGTTCTGGGGCCCATATGCCTTACCTAAACCCCACATGAACCTTGACTGTAAACCCTAAAACCTAAACCCTAAACCCTAAACCTTTTTTCCTTTGGGGTGGCCGGGCGCGAAACCACTGCAAGCCTGTCATGTCAAGCCCATGGGGCCCATATCAAGATCTAAGCATCACTCACCCGAATGCAAGGCCAGCGCACACCCCAGTCGCACTGCCTTGCAGCGTGCTTTTCGGTGCCTACCAGCCCTAAACCCTAAGCACTAAACCCTGAACCCTAAACCCTAAACCCTAGACCCTAAACCCTAAACCCTAAACCCCAACCCCAAACCCTAAACCCTAAACCCTAAACCCTAAGTCCTATCAACTTCTAGGAGCCCAAGGCCCTGCTGCGCGCGCAGCCCGACGTGCAAGCTCAGCTGCCTCCGGGTTCCTCCGTCACCACCTATGTTTGGCACAAGTGCCTGGGCTTCAGGAGAAGAAGACAGGCACTCATATGGCGTCCGAGGTGTGATATATATATATATACACATATATATATATATATATACATATGCTACCCCCCCCCCGATGTACCTACCCTTTTTTGGGCTGAATTTATAGAATATTCTGTATTTCTCCCTATCTCTCCCCTCCACCCCAAGATCCCGCAACGCGCGGTCGTTTTTTTTTTTTTTTTTTGGGGGGGGGGGGGGGGGGCCCACAACAATTCAATAGAGGAAACCTGAACAATTTGCTTGTGGATTGCATGCTGTGATTTCAAAAGGAATCCTATTCATTCGAGTACGGTTCCGATCAAATTTAATTAACAGGGTTCATAGGGTTCGTGTTATTTTAATAGGGTTCTCATTAAAATGAATAAGAAACCCTTTAAAATGAATGAGAACCCTTAATACTAATAAATTCAATAGGAACCCTATTCAAATGAGAAAGAACAATACTGAAGTTGATAGGAATCTTATTAAAGTTGTAGGAGCCTTACTAAAACAAATGGGACAACTTTATGGAATCTTAGAAACAACAATGGGAATCCTCTATTTAAATCCATAGGAACCCTATTTTAAATTAATCGGAGCCGCAAAGTCAACAGGAAGCAGTCTTAAAACTAAGTGGAGGCCCCTCACAATTAATGAGAATATTTTCGTAGAATTAATAGGGTAAATAGGAATCCTATTAAACTGAAGAGGAATCCTACTCAAATTAATAGAAACCAATCGGACTCTTATAAGACAGAACGTGAACCTTTGGAAAAATAATAGGAATCCGATTAAAGTGAACATGAGCCTAAACCAACAGGAACCCCTTGAAAGTAATGAGATCCCGTTTAATATTAACACGAACCCCATAATTAAACACGAATAAGAATCTGAATAAAACTGATAGGACTCATATTACAAAACATAGGGCCTTATTGCCTTATTAATACTTAGGAACCCTATGAAACTTGTTTTGGGATCCTCTGAAAGTAAGTAGGAATCCTCTATTGAAGTATCGGAACCGGACAACAGTTAATAGGAAGGAAGCCTATTAAAATGAATAGGAACCCTTAACAAGTTAGAAAGAACCCGGGTTACAATTCACAGGAATCCTATTAAAACGAGAAGGAATCTTTCTAAATCAATAGGAACCAGTAGGCCTCAAAAAGCAATAGAATCCTTTAACAAGAACTGATAGGAGTCCTACTAAACTAGTATGAGCCTAATCCAATAGGAATCCTTCAAAATTAATGAGAATCCTATGCGAATCCCAGCAACAAGCACAAGAATCCTGTTAAAATTGGTAGGAACCGTGTTTCATTGGTAGGAGCCTTAGGGCGTGATGAAAGGTACAGTTTTAGTATAGATATTAGGTCTTGCTTATCGGGGGATGATTGTTTGAGATGTCGTAGCTCAGGTATAGTTTTTAGGACAGATGTCATGTCTTGCGTATTGGGGCGTGATTGATTATAAGGAGGTTTTGGTACTCTCTCAACATTTTCGTAGAATTAACAGGAATAATAGGAATCCTATTAAACTGAAGAGGAACCCTACTCAAATTAATAGAAACCAATCGGACTCCTATAAGACAGAACGTGAACCTTTGGAAAAATAATAGGAATCCGCCTAAAGTGAACATGAGCCTAAACCAACAGGAATCCCTTGAAAGTGAATGAGATCCAGTTTAATATTAACACGAACCCCATTAACACGAATAAGAATCTGAATAAAATTGATAGGACTCTTATTACAAAACATAGGGGCCTTATTAATAATTAGGAACCCTATGAAACTTTTTTTGGGATCCTCTGAAAGTAAATAGGAATCCTCTGTTGAATTATCGGAGCCGGACAACAGCTAATAGGAAGGAAGCCTGTTAAAATGAATAGGAACCCTTAACAAGTTAGAAAGAACCCGGGTTACAATTCACAGGAATCCTATTAAAACGAGAAGGAATCTTTCTAAATCAATAGGAACCAATAGGCCTTAAAAACAATAGAATCCTTTAACAAGAACTGATAGGAATCCTACTAAACTAGTATGAGCCTAATCCAATGGGAATCCTTCAAAATTAATGAGAATCCTATGCGAATCCCAGTAACATGCATAAGAATCCTGTTAACATTGATAGGAACCTTATTAAATTGGTATGAGCCTTAGGGCGTGATGTCTTAAGATATGTTGCAAAGGTACAGTTTTAGTGTAGACATTAGGTCTTGCTTATCGGGGGATGATTGTTTGAGATATCGTAGCTAACGTATAGTTTTTAGGACAGATGTCATGTCTTGCGTATTGGGGCGTGATTGATTATAAGGAGGTTTTGGTACTCTCTCGAGATTTTGCAGGATTCGAGTTTGTTGCTTGGTACTACCTCGAGAGATGGTGGCTGGGAGAGAGCCTCAGATCACGAAAATCATGGAAAACATTGGTTTTACCAATGTTTTTGAAGGATGGGGCCCAAAAACATCGGCAAAACCAATATTGTCCATAAAATCCATGGTTTTCAAACCATGTGGCTGGGAGCACCCAATTCACGGATAACATTGGTTTTACCAATGTTTTTGAAGGATGGAGCCCGAAAACATCGGCAAAACCAATATTGTCCATAAAATCCATGGTTTTCAAACCATGTGGCTGGGAGCACCCAATTCACGGATAACATTGGTTCTACCAATGTTTTGAAGGATAGAGCCCGAAAACATCGGTAAAACCAATGTTATCCATAAAATCCATGGTTTTCAAACCATGTGGCTTAGACCACGACATTCACGGATAACATTGGTTTTGCCGATGTTTCTGGGCTCCATCCTTCAAAAACATCGGTAAAACCAATGTTATCCGTGAATTGGGTGCTCCCAGCCCCATGGTTTGAAAACCATGGATTTTTTGGAAATTATTGGTTTTACCGATGTTTTCGGGCTTCATCTATGAAAAACATTGGTAATACCGATGTTATCCGTGAATTTCGTGCTGCCAGCCACTCTTCCCTCGTCGTTCGCGTAAGCAGAATGCCGAAAATCGAAACCGTCGAGACAAAAAAGCAACCAAATAAGCAAAATATGGTAGGTACATGGGGGGGGGCACCATACATATATATATATATATATATATATATAGATACCTTACGGTAGGCAAAAAGGGACTCCAGAAGGTATATTTGTACATGGAGGAGATTACGTGTCTAGGGCTCTTCTTCTATCGGGGAGATTTCAAGTGACCTGGTCGATCGTCGAGTTCAGCTTCAGCCAAGGAATGTTGCAAGCGGCCGGATGTACTTGGGCTGCTTGGGCTTGCGAACCCGCAAGAATCGGACCAGCGCGTGCCCCGAAATGAAGCCGCAAACTACTTGTAGCCGTTTCGTTTCTGTTGGCTGCCTTCCATGGCGATTTCAACCACGAAAGCCCCACGCTGCTTATAAGCACCAGATGACTCCTAAACCCTCCCGGTCCTAAGCAGCCGTGCAGCTTCCCCACACAACCCTCAACCCTCAACTCCAGACCCTGAACCCTAGGAAAAAAAATCCGGGGTTTGCCCCCTAAGTCCGAAGCTCTCAACCCTAAACCCTCCTGCCCTTTAGTCCTGAATCCCCAAACCCTGAACCCCAAATCCCAAACCCTATAGACCCTAAGCCCGAATATTGCCTCAAGAAGCTGAAGGTCTGGAGCCCAGGCCCCATGAGCTCATTCCGTGGAAGGACACTTTAGAGTTTAGGGTTTTGGGTTTAGATTTTTCGGTTTAGGGCTTGGAACCCAACCAGCCGGGCGGGGATGGGTTTGGGTTTAGGGCTTGGGGTTGCTATGCCGGGGACCAAGTCTGGAATCAGCATTATTGACCCCGATTGCTTCTGCAAAGATAGAAGTCTGGCTACATACATGTGTGTGGGGATGGTTAAAAGTTAAAAGGTATGACAGTCGGCAACCCTCGCAAAACTTTGTAAGACGAAACACCAAAACGCCATTAAGAAAGGCTAAGCTCTAAAACCACGTGCAGGCTGTAGTGCTTTCAGGAAACCCTCAACCCTAACCCTAAGCCTAAAGCCTGTTTAGGGAGCCGGCAAGTGCCCGGCGCCTGGCCTTGCTTTCTGTAGGACCTGCCAGTGGATGGGGTCACGCCACTCAACGCCATGGCCACTTGGTAAGCGGAGACACAGGTGAGGGCGGCTTGAAAAGTGAAGAATTCTAGGGTTTAGGGTCAAGCGTTTTGGGCCTAGGGCGTCGGGAGCAATGGGTGAATTAAACTGAAGACCCGGCGCCGCCCAACTCGCCTGCCAGGCCCTGTTAAGATAGGGGTCGGAATACTTGCTAGCAAGATTCTCTTAATTATGGTCCCTTTGTAAATATACGACAATAGCCCCCCAAAAACCCTAGTCTAATTAGTCAGGCCCCTATAGTATGCTGCGATGCATGAAGCAAGCTGCGCCTTGAGGCCCGCTACCGAAAGCATTTTCCGCCTGCTTTTTCTCTATCGTTGTCTCCCACTCCCGACGGGACTGCCGCCACTGCGCGCAA